CAGATCATATCTCCAGTAAACCAGGAAAACCTATACCTCGTAGTCATACTGTTGTAAGACGTCATGCTCCAAAACTTGGTAATCCAACTCCACTTGGTCTTTCTGCTTTCGCATTATCGGTTATGGTCGTGTCCTTTTATAATATGCAATCACTTGGTGTCGTTGTACCAAATGTTGTAGTTGGTGTTTCTATGTTCACCGGTGGTGTAGTACAAGTATGCAAAATAACCTTTTTAGTCTGTTACCATAAATAGTAATTTTTAATTAATTAATTAATTTTAAATTGCAAAATAGTTTGCTGCTGGCATGTGGGAATTCAGAGTTGGAAACACCTTTGGTGGTACAGGATTTTCTGCTTTTGGTGGTTTCTGGACTTCCTTTGGTGCTCTTTATATCCCATCATTTGTAAGTATTTATGATGAAGAAAATCATATGGATTCTAATAAATTCATTTATTTACTTACTTGTTTATTTTTTTCCTAGGGAATTGAAAAAGCTTTTGAGAATCATTTTTATTCAGTCAATAACATTGTAGACCCTAACAATTCAACCTTACATTGGGACCCTAGCACTGATTCGGTGTACAATAATGCATTAGGATTATACTGTGTCGCCTGGCTCATATGTAAGTATTATATATATTACATATTATGCAAATTGTAACTAATAATAACTCTGATTTGAATAATAATAATGATTTTATTATTATTATTATTTTTTCAGTCACATTCATTTTCACATTAGCTTGCATGCGTACAAGTGTCGGAGTTTTATCAGCTTTCATCTTTTTAACATTTACTTTCTTGGCATTGTCAATTGGTCATTTCACACTTAATAATTCCATTATAAAAGTCGGCGGTATTCTTGGACGTATGTATTTTTTGCGTCATTTTCTTTTTTTTTTCTTTTTTTTTTTTTTCGTAAAATTTTTTTAATTATTGATTAAAAATTTTTTTTTAAAATATATATAGTTATCACATCGTGCATAGTATGGTATTGTACAGCTGCCGTATTATTGACACCAGACCTTTCACCAATAGGCCTACCACTTGGTGATTTAAGTCGTAAAACTGTTTAAAAAATATAAAAATTCTATATATAATATAAAAAATTTAATGATAATGATTAATTAATGAAGTAACGAAAATAAAATTAGAAAATATGTATATATATATATATTGATTTATTATATATATATATTTATTTATTATTTATTATTTATTATTTATTTATTATATTTAATTAAAAGAGATTTCTGATTTAAATCATATCAGAAAAAAAACCTCGACGCGTTTGTTGCATTAAACAATCAATGTGATCACACCATGCCTTTAATATTATATTCACAATATGCATATTTATGTTTTAAATCTTTTTTTTTTTGGTTTATAATAATTATATTAGTTAAAAAAGATTTGCATAAAATTTAATGGCATTTTTTTTTCATGGTGGTATCTTTTTTTGATTTTGATTTTTTTTTTTTCTTCACACGCTTAGAGCATTAAGAATTCTGTCACATATATATATACATATATATATATATGACTATAACATTCATTCTTTACTTTTTTTTTTCTAAAATAAAAAAATAATATAATATTATTTTAATTTAATTATTTAAATAATTTACACATTTATTAAAAAAATAAAATAAAATCAAAATGGCAAAAAAATTAACCTCCTCTTTTACAATTTTCATTTTTGCGATTTCCTTACTTGGAGTTTCTTGTAACCCAATTTCATTTTCTCGCATTATTTCGTCTGATTCAGGTCCATTTGAAGCAAAACGTTCATTCCTAAATGGTGGCGGTGGCTGGAAACCTGTGATTCTTATGAATGGAGAAAATGAAAATACTGCAACAAATCAAGCTTCCGATATCAACTCGCTCGATGTTCAAGCTTTACAAACTGCTGAATACGCAAACACTTTTGACAACGAAGGACTTACAACTTTCTTATATAATAAACGCTCATTCCTAAAGGGTGATTATTGGAAACCCGTGATTCTTATGAATGATGCAAATGAAAAAACATCATCGAATCAAGCCTACAATACCAACTCGCTCGATGTTCAAGCATTACAAGCCGCCGAATACGCAAACACTTATGACAACGAAGCTGCAAAAACTTTCTTATATAATAAACGTTCATTCCTAAAGGGTGATTATTGGAAACCCGTGATTCTTATGAGTGATGCAAATGAAAAAACATCATCGAATCAAGCCTACAATACCAACTCGCTCAACGTTCAAGCCTTACATGCCGCCGAATACGCAAACACTTATGACAACGAAGCTGCAAAAAATTTCTTATATAATAAACGTTCATTCCTAAAGGGTGATGATTGGAAACCCGTTATTTTTATGAACGGTATGTCTGAAACAACTGCCACTAACCAAGCTGCTAATGTTAATACATTGGATATTCAAGCATTGCAAGCTGCCGAATTCGCCAATACATATAATAATGATTATGCCAATACATTGTGGGTCAATTAATACACATGTACATATTTATATACTTTATTTTTATAAAAATTAAAATAGATATTTTTCTTTTTTATGTATAAAAATAAATTTTTTAAGAAAAACTTTGACATTCAATATTAAATCCAGCCAACTATAATTCTAGAATTGAATGATGGAATGATTTTTCTTTGAATTCTTTATCTTGTCCTTTTTGATAACTTACCTAACCTTATGTTATTATTATTTAAAAAACAACAATTAATATAATAAATGAAACGTGTCATGCAATTTTATTATTTATTTATTCAGAGTTTTGAGTCCTGGGTTGCTGTCTTGTTGGTCTCGCCAATAACCTTACCCCATTTAAAAAACGAATTCAATTGATCAAATAAAAATTAAAGAGACAGAAAATTTATGAAATGATTAATTTATACATAACATACCAAACAAAATCTGAACCATTTTATTTTACAGCTTTCATTTGATGTCAGTGTTCATGATGACTATCACAATAATAGTGGGCAGAATCAAATTGCCACCTTGTACTTGTAAAATACCTAGGGTGGATTATATGGACAAGAGCCCCCATTTAAAAAATATCAAATTCAATTGGTCAAATCCTAACATCAGAGCCCAAATGCAATTATAGGGTCACCAACCCCACTCTGAATTGGGACCTCTTGTTGAAACGAGTTGCAGATTCTCGTTGCTTTGCCGGATCTGGATGTTTACATGGCGCTATAATTCATCTGCGGAGGTGCGACTTGGTCACAGAACTACCCTTACCCTAGAGGTAGGACCCGTTGCAGGCAACTTTTCGGCTAACACGCCAGCAGTCTTCTCTGGCATGGGTGCTGTAAAGACTAGTGAAAGTGTCATTGACAATTGATGCAGTCTTGATGCATTCCATGACATCTTTCCTCCTCCCTGGAATTCAGTTGCATCATTGTATCGTCAGGCACGAGTCAGATTCAGCCTTGTGTACATGAGGAATATGTGAGAATGACTGTAACATTCAAGGTAGTGTGCGTGCTTTAACATCTGCTAATTTCTGATAATCAAACATTGCATATTCGAATGTTTATTTTTCAATAGTCAATGCTGCCTTGGAATTTTCTTGTAATTATTTATTATTATTTAATATTAATATTATTATTGATTACGAAAAGCAAAACACCAATTATCTTGATGAGAATCTTATAATTACCCAACAAGATCTCTCCGCGTTTTGATTTCAATGATGTCATATCAATGCAAGTTTAAAAAAAAGTGCCTCTGGTTTGATCAGGTAAAATGTTTATGAATTAATGGTTCATTATTGCTGAAACACTTTGGGCAAAAATTACTTTTTTATAAGCCCAAACTATTTTTTGTTATTAGCTGAAATTTGGTGAAATTACTTTAAAGTTGTTTAAGTTAAAATAAGTTGATTGGTATAGTTTTTTAATGTTCATGTTATAAAAAATACTGAGAAGCCCAAATTGCCCAAACTAGTTTGGACTTTGAGAAAACAGTTTGGACCGGAAACCTTAGTGGCAGTACATTATGATTGGTGATAATTTAATGTAATCATTAAAATTGTAATAATTATGTAAAGAAGGCTTGTTGTAAATTTGATGATGATTTGGGAAATGATGCTTCTTCATATGTAATTTTTTCAACTTTTAAAACATATATGCACACCGATCTTAATGTACAATTTTAGTTGTCTCCATTTTCAAAATGTATAGGTTCAAGGCAAATAAAGTAGAACAAAAAAACTTTTCGTATCTATAAACTGCACACCACCTACCTACTACTATCGTTCCGCGTAAATTTGGTCTACACAGTGAGTCTCGGTATAACGGATATCTAACTAGTACAAATTTAGAAACCATCTGCAAAAAATTTGAATTTAATTGGATATTTTTGCAGATAGTTTCTAAATTTGTACTAGTTAGATCTTCGTCATACATATGTAATAGTAAACTCGATAAGTCGGTCATGTGGGGATGAGCTCATATGACCGACTTATCGAGTTAAATTACTTAAATATTAAGAAAATGGGGTGAAAATTTTGGCCGACTTATCGAGTAGACCGACTTATCGAGTGACCGACTTATCGAGTTTACATATGTACTGTGTATATATCTTTGAAATAGTGATTTGAAAAAAAAAGAACTTCTGTCGATCACAATTAGATTTAATGTCACGCGCACAGCATCAGTGTGCTGGGGCAGACGTAAAGTTGACATATTAATATATATTAGTAAGCGCCATTATGTCATCTTATTAATCTATTTATATTATTTTTTTTTTTAATCTAACAAATTAGATGAATAAAGAAGCCATAATATTCTTTATTAAAAAATAGATACGGAAATTTTTTAATTAAATTAGTTAAAAAATATTTAATATTGTATCACAAAATCTCTCATAATGATTTTCAAATTATACATTCAACTTTCATTTTTCAAATAACATAATTAATATTTCATCAAATTATTAGCGAAACTAGCAGCTTCAAGGAGCGTTTCTGCTCGTTATAGTATAATGTCTATTTCAATATCAGAAGCAGAAATAAATACACGGTCTTCATCTGCACCATCAGACGAAATGTCTAATTCAATTATTCCTTTAACTACAACTAATGTTGAAGATGAAATGCATAGAGCAGCAATCAAAATTTTACAACAATCAATAGATCTTTTAATAAATTTATCTAATGACGAGAATTTTTACATTTATCAGAGTAAATTTATACCACAAAGTTCTATTGGAAAACATATCAGGCAAGTAATTTCAACAATTAATCAAAGATGCATTAATTACTTGATAAATATTGCAATTAATATAAATATTTTATATCTAGACATATATGTGATCATTTTAGATCATTGATTGAATCAAAATCGCTGATAGAGAAAAGAATATCAGAGAAAAATA